GGAAAGTGACTTGAGATGACGTGTTGTGAATTGGCGCTATAGAAATAAACTGAACAGAAATGCTTTGGGCTGATTATTAAGAACTGAGCTGCACCCCTTAAACCTAACTAAAATAACTCTTAGGACTTCAGCATATTGAGACCTTTAGGTCAATTCCATGCTTGTCCAATTTGGCAGCTATTTAACAAGCAAGACATGAATGATTTAGTTTAACATTGAGGAGGTAGACGTGCCGACAGAGCCTCATCAAACACATTCAGGATGAATCACAGTGAAGTCTGGGAAGCTATCTTCACTGGGAACTGGAACCTGTCTAAACCAGGCCTGCTGGTTTAACAGCAGTGAGTAATTAAAGGTTTTCCATGGAAATTGATCAAATATTCCCACAAACATCCCTAAAGCCTGAAGAATGGGTTCTCCTTACAGGAAAACTTAGTGAGATTATTATTTTCAATCAGGTTCAGTAAATAAGAGTTAAGCAAATGTACCTCCCAGTTAAAACACCCCCAGTGTTGCTATGGTTACCTCTGTCCGTAGCCATCCACTCTGCCTTCAGCAGCAGACAGGCGGTCAGATTCGGGGCTATTGACCCGACGATATCGTAAAGACCGACCCTGACCTGTCGGCGACTCAGGGCCCCCCCCTCGAACTGGCGACACAGGACCGGCCGCTCGACCCGCCTCCTCTTCCTCAGGCCCCTGAGAAACAGCGGGGGGGGGGAAAAACTATGAAAAACAGCTGGACATCAACTCCAATGTGACGTTTTGCTCCAGATTGTTACAGTCAGACCTTGTTAAGGCTGATCCTGAGTCTGTTGCGGTTAAAGTCTGTGTCCTCCCAGGCCTCCCCAGGCTCCCCGGCGTTCGGCTGCGTAGCCGTCTCTGGCGGCGGCCGGCTCGGTGGCGGAGGAGGAGCGTTCTCCTGATCGCTGAAATGTTCATCCCGCAGGCCGTCTTCGGTGTTTTCTCTCTGAGGGTCTCCAGGAACCGGCGTCACAATCGCTCTGTGGACGTAAGGCACGAGTCACACCCAGAGCATTTAAACTGTTTTTACAAAGAAAATAAATCCTGCCAAACTCAGAAAAGCAGGAATATGACAAAAAGTTTAATAGCAAAGAAGGCTGATAAAAGACGGCGTTGAAGAGCGCCTCCTAGCGGCCATTTTTCACTGATCTACAAATAGAACCAACATCTTTATCACTTCAGAAATAGTGTATAAGTAGTAAAAATAATCATCAACTAATCTAATCTATAAAATGAGAGGTTGAAAGATGTGGGTTCCAGTTTGGTCCCCTGCAACATGCGCCCATGAGCAAGGCAGTTTACCTTTAGTTGACAAAGGGAATGTGAACCAATATATGCAGAATTCCCAAACCTTGGTAAATATCATACTTAAGAACCTTTAAGGTCCTTCCAGGACCATGATTGTCAGCATTTATCTCCTGCTACCACTGTAAAGGCTAATTTACGCTCAGAAACCAGGTGGTCTGCGTGTGTGT